CACTTTTTGAAGAAAATCTAAGACTTTTAAGTGCGCCTTATGGTCGTGAAAATACGGTAGTTACTTTTCAAGTAATTGATTACTTTTAGAATCGTGCAACTCAGTTACTAACTCAGTTACTTTTTTGAAGAAGTAACTAGTAACTATAATTAATTACTTTTTCAAAGTAACTTGCCCAACATTGGTGATTGATGTCACTAGAGCCTGAAGGATATGGGATTTTCAAGACCGATAACAACACCAATATTTGGTGATTTTAAAAGCCCAATATTATTATATATTGGCTATTTTTTTCCTTTCAGACACATAAAACATAAACAACTTTTTAAAAAATTATAATGCGTTGTTCTATTTTTACTAATTTACGTCGTTCTTGACTCTGATCAGGTTAGTTGGTTATTGTTTGTGGCTTTCCAAACAGCCGACAGGGAAGTTGCAGAGCTCCCTCTAGCGGACAAGCTATGCAACATCACTCATAAAATGATCAAAGGCTGTTTCTACTTTTCCGATTTTTTTTTAAAATGAACTTTTCTCTGATGCAAAAAGAATAAATTATTACATTTTTTACTGGACCTTCTCTTACCAAAGACCTGAAGACAAAGTGCTCTGCTATTGGAATTATTAGCTGAAAATGAGTTGCTGCACATCTGCCTTCATCTGATATGTTTTACCTTACCAAAGCAAGCAGCTGCAACAGATTCATATAACTAAAAAAAATGTAAGGTTACATTTTCCAGTATGTTTATAAACCACTCTATCTTATTCTTTGCTCATACTGAGGCTGATAGCTTGTGGCTAGCAAATTTTGAATAGCTTAGCTTTAGCTTTCACATTTTCTCTGTTTGCTCATTGAAAACGATCCATGTTCATCTGGGTAAAGGTGATTTTAAGTGTCTCTTTAGGTTTGTTGTTCCAAAGGTTTGTTTCAACTGATTGACCGTTCGCTAATATCAGCTTCCTGATAACTCAGTCAGGATCTACCTGCTGCAGTGACTACATCCATCTTTACATACCATCTACGCCCACAACCAAAATAAAACACAATGATACAATGACACATCAGCAAAGGGGATCAATAAATGGTCAGTCAAAGAGAAAACATTGATATCGTAACTTAATTAAGGTTGCTGCCTCAAAAAGACATAAATACATCATAAAAACACAATAAGACGGGTATTTCTGAGGTATGTAATAATATATATAATAATATAATGTGTGTATGTGTTAGTCCCCATAGGGAAATAGTTCTTCTGCATTTAACCCATTCACCCAGTGAAGCAGTGGGCAGCCACCAATGCAGCGCCCGGGGAGCAGTGTGTAGGGACGGTACCTTGCTCAGGGGTACCTCGGGGTAGCCATTCAGTGGAGTTGAACCCCTGACCTTCCGATCATGGGGCCACCACTCTACCTACTGAGCTATCCCTGAGGTATGACGTACGATGGGATCGTTTGCAGACAATAGTAAAAAAAAATTCTAGTCTCTCACCTGTCCTGAGGTTTAAGGAGTTGGTTATTGCAGAAGGTGACGCAGGGCTGATCTTAGACATTGCTTCGCAGTAACCCCCCCTGCGGGTGCTCTGGGGTACTGCACTCTGAGGAGTTCTTGGCTTTGTCCTTGTTGTTGTTGGGCTCGTTATCCTTAATGATGTCATACTGACGACAAAACAGGGCGATCACACCTGAGAGACAAATGTACATCGTAATTTTCTGGTAAAATAATAACAGTAACATTTATATGATTTTATACCTTACGTGTGTGTGTGTGTGTGTGTGTGTGTATATGTATGTATATATATATATATATATATATATATATATATATATAGTATCTATACATAACCAAATCTAATTTTTCATACACTTAACAAAGTTTATGAACGTAGTTAAATATAACCCAAATTTGGAGGGAGAAAAACCCAAAACATTAGCAACAAGAGAAAGCAAAACTGGATCTGGATGAAAAGAGGAGATGCTGTGGGACTGAGGGAGATCACTTTACACATTTTGTTTGCCAAAAATTATTGAGTGGCAGTGCGATCTCATAATTCAAATCATATTTTTGTAATAAAAAAAAATCCCACTGCTGCTTCATATGGATGCCACAAAGTCTTAGGCAGGTGGGTGCATGTAAAATCATAACTCCATGAAGTTCTCTGCCTTTTCCATAAGAGGTTTAAAATGCACTGCAATGAAATGTTCTGCATACTTAGGGGAGCGTCCCATGGGTCTGCTATACTTTAGTGGCAGAAGACGCTAATAACAGCACTAGGAAGCTGTAGGCTACGGCGCCTCTCGTGCTTACCACATTCAGAGAGGCATGAACACCAGGCAATCATTTCTAAATGTGAATCTGGATGTTAACCAGAAAGGTGCAAAGAGCAGAAAAAAATACATTACTCTGTGTGTTGCCTGATTTCTTGTCCAAGAACATCCTCCTTCCAATCAATCCAGCATGGTATTATTTCATGCTTTTCCACACTTGCTTCTCGCCATAATAGATGAAATTAATCTGAAAGAGCTACAGCTTTTTAATTTTATTTTTTAAATGAGCACATTCCCTTGTATTACTCTTGACTCCTGTTTCTGCTGTAGATACATTAGGAGCCTTATTCTTGTTATATGGCAAACACAGCTTCACTGGCTAATGCTGAGAAAAACTTCAGTGCTACAATTCATATTGGGTCATTTAATATTATCCCTGATGATAAAGACTGCGAAAGGGTGTCAGACGTCAGCCCAGCAAAGACTCCAATCTGGCCCACTGGACAGCTTTAGAAAATGTGACGGAGAGTGTAAATGTTGGACTTTTAAAATGTATTTTAATACGTTTAGTGCTTTTCCTACTGATAAAGACCATTCATACTACACCAAAGTAATTAAGTAACAGATAAATAGTTATAAGACAGAAAAAGTCTTGTTTTAGTCACTCAGTTAGACATTGATCACCTCTTGTAAAACAGTTTGTTAGAAACTTTGCTGACAAGCTGATAAAATAGCCCGATTTAAACCAAAACGTGAAAACATGAAAATATTTTTCTTTCAGCAGCTGCAAGATATGATACATGCTACTGATGTGTCAATAAAGCCATTCAAATGGGGCTGAGAGAAACAGAGACACAGGCAGCGTGAAATGAGCAGATGGTGATATGAAAGTGATGTTGAGATAGCCGCATGGAGCTTGCCTTCAAGTCAGGGAGATTAAAAACATGGCAGAGGAGTTACAGATGCGACAGCAGATAGCGAACAAGCGCGGAGAAAAGGAGAAAGGGAATAATTCATGAAGGTGGGGGAGCACGTGGAGGGTGCAATCCAGGCCTGAATGGGCTCCAGCCTCAGTGGTTCTGCTTATGTCAGCCTCCGCTCATCTGATCACTGCAATACCAAAGAGTGAGATGGGATATCTTGCTGTGATATCCCCCAAGCATTCCCCACAGGCCCAATTAAAAAGTGAAAAACATAATTCGCCTCCTTCACTTTCAGTTTTTTTTCACTATGCCCTCGTTTTTTCTTTTTTTCCTCTTTTCTCAAAACTCGATTGACTCAGTTTTTCTCTCTTTTCTATCTCCCAACTGTCTTTGAATCCACGTCTCATGTCCTCTCACGGCTAATAGGCAGTGGAGATCCAGGTCTCCTGCAGAGTACTGTGTGTACTGTATATACCTTATACAGTATTTGGGCCATATTTGTATATCATTGCACTTGGTGAAGTGGGTTAGGAAGCGATATTTATAGCTGCATGTGTGAAACAGTGTTGAGACGCATCATACAACTAATAACTAGAAGAAGAAGTAACAATTCTTGTATGTGGATGTGTAATTTCGTCTACTTTTTCCACAGCAAAGCACTTAACCTTGAGTGAAAAAGTGAACTGTGATATAAAATTCATTTCAATGTAAAGTCCTCTGTTATTGAGCAACAGCTCGCTATAAAGAATGAGTCAGAGTTTCTGCAGCTGGTAGGAAGTACAACTGACTATGGTCGTATATGTCAGCGGTCCACAACCTTTTTTGGTCCATGGACCATTTTGATGTCAGATATATTTTTACGGACCGGCCTTTAAGGTGTTGCGGATAAATACAACTAAATAAAATGATATGACCGAGACAAAAACTGTGGTATTTTGTAAATATAATAATAAACACAAATTCACTGTGTAATTGTGTAACTTTATTAGCAGCGTCCTCCTGAAATGCACCAACAATATTGAGAGTAACATCCTCCTCTCTGCCCCTTAATGCGCTCTGGTTGCTATGGTAACGTGTAAATATTTCTTTCAATATAAGACGCACAATTACAACACAGGAAAAGAACCAGGGAAACCGAGTTAACGATGAAAAACCCTGAAAACCATAAATTTCACACTTGAGCCTCAACTCTCACAGACCAGTACGGTCCGTGGCCCAGAGGTTGGGGACCGCTGGTTTATGGGACTGTGTGGGTAATCCCCAGAGGATGAATCTTTGCCCCTTTAACAGACAGATACATTACACTAGTTTATGTAACTCTGCTCAATAGTGATAACAGGATGAGTTTTATTTATATATTTATTTTTTGGTTCTGACACTGAGTGGAGAGTTGCACACAGATTACAGATTGTTTGCAGAAGACAGATATTCAAATCCATTCAATTCATACAGTGCTGAATGGCAACAGCTGTCACCTCAAAGCACTTTTTTAATGTAAGATAAAGATCCTACAAATATTAAAGAGGAAACCCCCAACAATCAGATGATCCCCATATGAGAAAGCACTCTGTGACAGTGAGAAGGAAAAACTCCCTTTTAACAGGAAGAAACCCCAGTAGTGACCAGTGGGGTGAGGGGGAAAATGCACACATGCAAGAGAGCCAGAGATGAAAATGAATTAAAATGAGTGATAAAAACACCAGGAAAGTAAAAAAGAGTGAATAAGAAATACTCAATGCATCATGGGAATGCCTAGCAGACTAAGCCTGCAGGGATCATAAGTAAGCTTGCAGTCTGAGAGTAAAGAGAAGAAAGATGTCAGCTGTGTAATTTCCTGTTGAGGTTATGATCTGAGTTGCTCTACCTAACTACAACCGGCTCTTCCAGAGTTTCCAGAGTCAAACTAGCAACACATTGATGTTTTTAGTCATTATTATTATTTCCCTTATCTTTCCAATGGCTCACCGCAGCAGACAGATCCAGATGTTTGATTTGACAGGGCTTTATGGAGGATATCCTTCCTGACGCAACGCTCGTACTCATGGTTCCAAGATGAACCTTTCTTAAGGTTTAGTTGACAAACAGAATTTTCCTTCTCACATGATGATTTCAACTGATTTCAAGCAAACTGTCTCACCGTCACAATGTCAAAGATCTTTTGACATGTAATCTAGCAGAACCATCAGTGCTTTACATTTAGCATTTAGCATAGAAGCAAGGTCAAAACAAAATGGAGAAAATGGTAAATATGGTAGAATCCTAATGTTAGCATTTAGCTTGAAGCAGCATCAAGGTTAGCATCATCACAGAGCTGCTAGCAGGGCTGTAAGTTTAGTCTTGTTACTGGACAATGTTTTACAGACGGGTGGTTATAGATTGCTAGAAATCAATCCCTGACTCCTACAGTCCTCGTGCCAACGTATCCAGTAATAAATCCTGACACACACCATTGTATCCACTGGAATACAGTGACTGGTTGGGGAGACCGGTCTCTCCACAGTAGTGATGTGTCGGTTGCAAACGAAACGGCTCTTAGAGCCGACTCTTTGAAGAGAACGACGTGAGCCGACTCCTTATTGGTTCTTTTCTCTCACCCTCTCTCTCGCACTTTCGCACTCTCTTCACTCTGCACGCGAGCCTTGTGCTTTGCTTTCAAAACACGTAAAAACTCCAAAACACGTAAAAGCTTTTGTTACCTAGTGGCTACACAAGCCAGGAAGTACCAACGACCGGATTTGGTGTGTGGTAGTAACAGGTAAATGAACATTTTTTTGAATTATTTGAATATATATATGAGTGCTTGTGTATAAATACACAAACAATACACATATGCTTTCAATTGTGTAATTTAAGTGATCTAGGTAGCTCTGTTTTGGAAGTTCAGTTAACGCTAGAAATGTGTCAGTCCAAATGTGTGGTAGTGGGCACATCTGCTATATTGAGATAATCCATCCCACCTCACAGGTGTGCCACATCAGGATGCTGATCTGACATCATGAGTAGTGCACAGGTGTACCTCAGACTGCCCACAACAAAAGGCCACCCTGGAATGTGCAGTTTTGTCTCACAGCAAAATGCCACAGATGCCACAAGCAATGAGGGAGCGTGCAATTGGCATGCTGACAAGCAGGAATGTCAACCAGATCTGTCGCCCGTGCATTGAATGTTCATTTCTCAACCACAAGCCGTCTCCACAGGCATTTCAGAGAATATGGCAGCACATCCAACCGGCCTCACAACCGCAGACCTCGTGTAACCACACCAGCCCAGGACCTCCGCATCCAGCAGGTTCACCTCCAAGATCGTCTGAGACCAGCCACCCAGACAGCTGCTGGAACAATTGGTTTGCACAACCAAACAATTTCTGCACAAACTGTCAGAAACCGTCTCAGGGACGCTCAACTGCATGCCCGTCGTCCTCATCGGGGTCTTGACCTGACTCCAGCTCGTCGCCGTAAAAGACTTGTGTGGGCAAATGCTCACATTTGATGGCGTCTGGCACGTTGGAGAGGTGTGCGCTTCACGGATGAATCATGGTTCACATTGTTCAGGGCAGATGGCAGCTGAGAATGTCCCAGTTCTTGCATGGCCAGCATACTCACCGGACATGTCACCCATTGAGCATGTTCGGGATGTGCTTGACCGGCGTATACGACAGCGTGTACCAGTTCCCACGAATATCCAACAACCTCGCACAGCCATTGAAGTGGAGTGGACCAACATTCCACAGGCCACAATTGACAATCTGATAGACTCCATGCGACAATGTGTTGTACTGCATGAGGCAAATGGTGGTCACACCAGATACTGACCGGTTCTGGGTCCCCAGACCCCCAATAGCGCAAAAAACTGCACATTCCAGGGTGGCCTTTTGTTGTGGGCAGTCTGAGGTACACCTGTGCACTACTCATGATGTCAGATCAGCATCCTGATGTGGCACACCTGTGAGGTGGGATGGATTATCTCAATATAGCAGATGTGCCCACTACCACACATTTGGACTGATTTGTGACCACTGTTTGGGAGGGATAGTTATATTGTGTATCTGGAATGAATTTTAGGTCTCTACGTCCATCCCATGGGGAATGGGAGCAGTAACAAAGGTGTTGCATTTATATTTTTGTTGAGTGTAAATAAAACCACATTTTTTGCATTAGTAATTCCTTTTGTGTATAATTTTATATTGTCATTAATAATAAATTAATTAAAACAACAAAACAACCTGAAGAGCAGGTTGGGAGCCAAAAGAGTCGGCTCTTTTTAGTGAGCAGAGCCGAAAGAGCCGATTCTCTAAAAAGAGCCGGAAATCCCATCACTACTCCCCAGTGGTTGCAGCAGATGGCCCCGCCCCTCCCTGAGCCTGGTTTTGCCGGATGTTTCTTCCTGCTAAAAGGAAGTTTTTCTTTCCCACTATCGCCAATGTGCTTGCTCATAAGGGGGCATATGCTTGTTGGGTTTTTCTCTGTATCTATTATCGTAGGGTCTACTGTACAATATAAAGCACCTTGAGGTGGCTGTTGTTGTGATTTGGCGCTGTATAAATAAAATTGAATTGAATTGAATGTGTGTGAATTTGTGTTTAAATGATTGAGACTTGTAATAAGAAACACTTACTGAATAGAAAGGTACCATAAATAAGTACCGTCCATCTTACGTGCATTATCCATGTCATGGGAATATTAAGGAAGCAGTCAGGTTTGATAATAACAGGAGACTTGCTATGTACCAGCACCATTTATAACATAATAAAGGAAGTATGTATGTTGCTTTACATAAACACATCTTCGATACGCATTTTCCTATAAGAGCTGCTTGTCTGCTGATAAGCCTTTAGCTTATTTTTTGCAGTTGTTTCCTGTTGATGAGTTTATCAAACTGAGACTTGGATTTGATGCGTTGCCGCCCAAATTCACACTAGCTATCTTTACATCATCTCGAAGGCCCTGCAGGCGTCTGGCACTCATTACAGAGGGATGATACCGCAGCCACTGTTTCTCTTAACAGGAACATTTGCCCAAAGACAGTGGATTCCTACGAGGTCCGTGGTGACAAATGTGCATCGCTGAACAGAAATATTACCTGCCCACATGACGAGCACCACTACGATGATGATGAGTTCTCCCGCCCTCAGCTGGGCAGCATCGCCGACCTCCTCCATCGTCACCTCGTCTGGAGAGAGAACACAGAAACGTGAGCACAGTCAACAGAGCGTCGGTGAGGATGCTGCGATTCATCGTCCCACATACTCAGAAAATCTGCAGGGAAAGATAAAAGAATCAAGCAGGGTGACAAGAGAGCAGAGAGGCTGACTGGTGTAAATTCCCCACTCTGGTCAGTGTAATTAAAGCTAAGTGAGAGCAGAGGTCCGCAGAGACAGAGTAAGCAGGATCCCTACCCCATCACTCACTGTGTTCCTCTTGCTGACAGCACTCTGGCAGCCGCAGCTTAAAACCAATCAGTGGGTTAAAGGTTTGAACACAGTTTGGACTACAACCGCTTCCTCCCTGCTGCCAACACAAGGCCTTATGCTACCTCCCATATACCCTTAGTCAAGCAGCCTTCCTTCCTCCACCTTCTTCCCCAGCCTGCTTCCCCTGGGTCAGTCTGTTATCTAAAGGGTAAAACACATGAAAAAAAAACTGAATAAAGACATCACTGTCAATACTTTGTCTGGGCTTGCATCCTAAGTTGATGTGCATATCCCCAAAGGAAGTGCTGACCACACACTGGTTGAAGGGAGCTGATCTTAAAGGTGTACAGTACTCTTTATGGAGCTGACAGCAAAGAAAACCTCGGTGCAATAAAACCAAATGGACCAGCCGTTGCTGACAATACAAGACACTGATATGTTTGATTTCTATTACACTTTGAAGTGATAAAACGTGACAGAACCAGCAATTCATCAAACAGGCTACCATCTGAACGTGTTTAAGGACGAGCATCACTTTTATTGCAATTTAGTTATTTACTGGGAAGTCTTCGACTTGCTCACAGCTGTCCGCTATTTTTTTTTTAAATTTCAAACTATGACAGGTAAGTGCAGCTGTGGCCTCTAAGGAAGGGGTGCGTTTCATCCCCACTTGTGGTATCTTCAGGTCACCGTTTTGCCGTTTGGAGTCGGGGATGATGATTTTGACACTTCTGTGTTCTGGCTTGCTCAAAACTCTGCTGTTTCCATGGTGATCCCTCTAAGCTCAAACTAAGTCCCTAGGGTTGCGCAGAGGAAAGGTTATACTCTAATAAGTTGCTAGGAGCAGATTATATGTTTATGTTGCGAGGGCAGACCCAAAGCTACGAGGAGAGGTGTGGAGATATCAGCCAACAGACGAGCTGAACACTCGGCAGCCTTGAGGTTGCTCCCTTGGCAAGTGTTGGTAACATTAGCATCAGCCATCGAGCCCCTTGAGACATGAAGAGTCAGGCGTAAGCTCTCTACTTCAGATTAATGGCTACAGGAAATACCTGCTAATTAATGGTATGTAGCATACAAATGAATACAGCTTCACTCAGAACAACTAGAACTTTGACTTCTTAGAAAGGCTGTTAGTACAGTTAAGTACACAAAAAGTATTATCAAAGTACTCAAAATATGACATTATTTAAGAATTTTGCAATATGCTGAGTATTGCAATTTATCATGTTTTTCAGCTGCAAATTATGTAAATGAAGTCAAACTTTTTCAGTTTCTGTTTTATCCAATAAGATAAAGTTATTTCATTTCAGTTTTTTCTTCTACTAAAACCTGCCAAATGCTGTTATAAGTCAGTCAGATATCAGTCTGGGACTGAGTGGGAACATTTTTTAATTTTGATCCACTGCTGAATTTGTAAGTTTGCTCAATTACAAAAAAACAGTCTCTACATTTTTATAAAAGTTTAAATCTAATGGAGAGAGACAGAATATCAACCAATAATCTGTGAAAACCCCCCCACTTCACATAAATGTTATGGATTGATTTTAACATCAATGAGTGAAGTCAGTCCCTACAACCTCGTTCGGATTCTGTGTTGGATGGTTTTGCAGGTGAGCAGATTTAATTCAAGTTTGCTCAGCTAACATTATCTCAGAATGCTGGTGAATGAGATGAGCCTTCTTGTTCATAGTGTTCCCAGAATATTTGAATTACCTAATAAAATACTGATATTTAGTTTTCTGTAGTGATACAATATCACCAAACAAACTATCGCCATACTGTGCTGTATCAATTTCTCCCCCTACCCCTAATAGAAAGCCACATTATTTTTTAGATGGTTAAAAGAAGTTGCATATTTTTCCCAAAAGGCAGGAATGCTCCTCGCAGCCTGAGTTAGCTTGGCCACGCCCATGAAAATGCAGTTCTTAGGCCCTAAACAAATGAGCTATGAAAACCCAAACTGGTTTTTATACCAGTATGTAAACATGTTTGTTTCTGCAGGTTATTTTAATAAGAGAGCCTTTAGCTATCAATCTGTTTTGGGAGCTAGCCTCAACTGAGCATTCAAGGAAATGCAGTTTGTGGAATTTCTGCATTAGCTTAATGCCGTTGTATGTAGGATCAAAATATTCAAAGAAAATACAGAATGTAGCGTTCATGTGAAACTACATATTCTGGCTGCATTAAGAGAAAAAAAATATTATTGATCAAGTTGATTGGTCAAGTCAAAACTTCAAAATTCTATTTTGAGGCAAAAGTCCAAACCTGCTGCAGTTTAAATGGGAAGGCACTGGTTTTAGTAGGAAGCTTCCAGACTGCATGAATGAGTGCAGCTGTGTTACAGAGCAATCTGCTGCTGCAGAGCAACATGGTGCTCAGCACAATTTCAGAGATAAATTAAATGTAAAAACAGTTCTGACAGTAAGCAGACTGCTGAAAAAGATTTATTTACTAAACCTTTGGCTTTTTCAGCAGCCTATAAAATTTAATAAACAACATAAAAAGAACACATTACAATTACATTTTAGGTTCTACCTTACAATATAAAGAACCTTGAGGTGGTGGTTGTTGTGATTCGACGCTGTATAAATAACACTGAAATGAACTGAAATTGAAAAGTTAAATTGAATTCAAAGATTTTGCTACATAAAAAATGTCAGTGCATTCAAAACTTCCACGAGAGAAGAAGAAGAACAGAGAGAAACCCAAGCAGGCTTCCTGTTGTGTTGCTTTGCACCTACAGATACTAAATCCTGTCAGGCTGATTAATACCCGCTTAGAAGGGGAGCAGAGCAGTAATGGCTGGGAGATTTAATCAGGGCAGCTAATGAACGCTTCCACCAACACACACACATGCAGGACACTATAGGCAGACAAGAAACTTCCATCAAAGTCAAAGCCCCTAAACATCAAGACAAACTTTCGTGCTACACGTCGCCACACATGACCTCACGTACACTGAAACATAACAAAAGTGTTCATCGCCATTAAGATTTGTAACCTCGATTTTTTAACAAGGCTGAAGACATTAGCCGTAGCCATTCTGAGAAATCCCTAAATTTAGTCCATAATCTTTGTCACTATGACCAACAATTAAAACTCTATTCAAAACAGTAATTGTCCAAAGAGGTTTTACCAACCTTAACCTTTTGATTATCAGATTGTTTTGCCAAGCTTTGAGTGTCTCTTTATGCTAAAACGGCGTGAAATCAGTTAGATTATGAAAATTTTAGTTTAGATCTTTTTTCTTTTCTTTTAATTATGTACTTATTTAAGCTAAGTGCCAGACTTTAGTAATAGAACGAGGCCCAACACAGTGCAAAAAAATGCAGTTCCTTGGATGGCCACTTGTGGCAGACTCTAAAAGCAAGCCAATTTCTCTTGAACTTAAAAACCAAAATAAGCATTTTATCAGCCAAGTATAAAACATTGTTTCAGTTTCTTTGGGTAATTTTCTCTTCAAGGCAATGGCACAGGGTATAAAACTTTATTAGGCTTAAGGCTCAAATTTATGCATTAGTAGGGCCACGCGTGCTTTGAGTGACAGGTCAGCTAATTCAAGAGAATTCAAAGTATTTTTAATATGACTAATAACATGTCTTGGTTAACTTTACTAACAGATCATCCAAGACGTCTGTGGACCACTTTTAGTGACTCAAATTTTTGCATTTTGTCTCTATTTTTATGTATTCATATGTTAACAATAGAGCTGGGTGATAGAACGATAACGATATGTATCGCGATATTTAAAAATTTAACTATTGCGATAGACCTCGCCGCTCTTGTCCTCTTAAAAAAAAGAAAAAAAGAACAGCCAATCCAAATTAAGTAGCGCAGAGCCGAACCAATCACAGCCGCAGCGTCACTTCACATGACTTGTTACGTACAGCACAAGTGCCAAGCCACACATGTGTATTTGTTTGGGAAGCAGCCAGCCATCGTACCGCCCGGGTAATGGAGGAAATGAGTGTGCCGACTAGAAAAATCAACCGAGTGTGACCGAAGGTTACCGAAGAGAAAACAGATGATGGTTCCAATGCCGGAGAGATTGTCGAACTGAAGAGCCATAGAAGTTCCGTAGTGTGAAGGTATTTCGGCTATTTCAAGTCTGACAAAAAACTGAGTAGCGCGCACTGTAAATTGTGCCGAAAGCAAGTCTGGAAATACAATAAACTGGTGCATGCGCTACGTCCACACGTACCCGGGTATTTTTGAAAACACAGAGTTTTCTATGCGTTTGCACCTTTCGTCCATACGTAGACGCCGTTTTTGGTCACTGAAAACGAAGATTTTTAAAAACTCCGGCCAGGGTGGATATTTTTGAAAACTCAATTTTTGCATTTACGTGTGGACTAGAAAAACGGAGAAAACGCAGCGTCAAAGGTGTGCGCATTTTTTGACGTCACACTGTGCACCACGTTATTGTTTCGGTGAAATGAATTTCTACAATACTGTTACTGTTAATTCTACTCTCTGCAGTGTTTAAATGCTTACACACACACACAGTTACTGTCCCTCCACACATACGACTCGGTTCTGCTTCTATGCCCCAGCTTTGTTTACTTTTTCCCACCGAGGCTTCTAGTCTTCTGATTGGCCAACATTTCTACACGGTCAGGAATCTAGTGCCACCTGCTACTTTATGTTCATAGCAGCGTTTTCCTTCCTTTCTGCCTTTATGTGTGGACGGGATTATTTTTTAAAACGAAAACGGAAAATCTCCGTTTTCAAAAATACCCGTGTACGTGTGGACGTAGCCTC